TAGTATATTAAGAAATTTTAATTATAGTTTTTTAAGACTTAAAAGGGTTAATAAAGATTAATTAAGTATTATAGGTTTTAACTTTTATATTTATTTTTATAAAACTTATTTATAATTATAGAATCTTTTATTAAATAAAGATACTATAATTAAAAAAATATATATATATAGTCTTTATAATTAATTATAAGAATATAACACCTTTATAATAAGAATCTAACTTATAACCACACTAAGCCTAACCTAGTGATAAAATTAGAAAAGAACTTAAGAAAAGTAAATTAACGCCTCTAACCACCCCTACACGATGCTAGCTTAGGGCCGCATTAATAGGGGCGGCCGTGGCCGCTAAAATAATACTAAGGACGCATTAAGACATAACTCCCTAACTAAGACGAGCTATAATAAGCCTAATATAGGAATAACCTAACTAAGACAGTTAACTAAATAAGAACTTATAAATAAGCTCTTCTTCTTAATCCCTAAAGAGTATAAAGATAAAGTAAAGAAATTATAGTACTAATACTAGTAGGTACTATACTATACTAAGGCCACTATAGCCTTAATATAAGCTTCCCCCTTTATAACTAGGATAATAATCTAAGTAATAGTTAAAGAAATAGTTATATAGACTCTAAAAGTAAATAAAGGAGAGGAAAGGTATAAAGACTACTACTAGCCCTAGTCCTATACTAATATAATAGTAGGCTAGGGGTAGCTAACCCTATTCACTAAGCTAGTACTAGTATAATATAATAGAGAGTTAGTAGTTAATACTAGAGACTATACTTAAGAAGTAAGGAACTAGTTACTACTAGAGGTAATAGTAGTGGTTAATAGGGCCCTCTAGGCTAATACTATAGTGGCTATATAGTGGCTCCTATTAAGGGATATTATCCTCTTATTCTATAATAGTATAAAGGAATATACTAAAGATAACTAGTAGGTAAAAACTATATTTAGTATAAAGGTAATAATAGTCTACTATATATATACTATAGTGGTTAAAGTAATACTAATAAAGGAGATCCCTTAAGACACTTTAGGGCTAGTGAATATACTATTAGCCTTTAATAAAGTAGAAATAGCCTCTACTAAAGTATAACGCCCTTAAACTAGAGTTAGGATAAAGGCGTTACTAGTTATTAGTATATATAATATAAAAACTCTAACTAACTCTATAAGAGAGGAGTATACTTTAACTCCTAAGTATTCTAGTATAAGCCTTATATAGAGATAGTATAGCCCCTATAGTACTTCTAGTACTATAGGTTTAACTATATTAGGAAATTCTATACTAATAATAAGTAATACAGCTAGTATATATACTATGCCTATATGTAACGGTGGCTCTTCTCTAATCCACAGTAAATCTGTTTCTTAGGAAGTGAGTCAGGTTGAATGCACCACAGGTGCAGATGAGCAGTATCGTAGCTTGAGTCACGTTTAGGAGATTACTCCCAATAGTAGAACTATTGCTTAGATTGATCAGTAGAGATCTAGCTGTCTATCTAGGAAATCCCCTTCCTTATATATCCATCTATCCTCTACTGTACTCTTGGATCATACTGATCCCATCTGATCCTCACTCAGGCTGGATCAGACTGAGCCCGTCCGACGAGTCCACTTGGATCAGTTCGATCCCTCCTGATCCAATCACGTGATCTCGTGTCCTTATACCTTCGTACCCTAGGGAGCCTCACAGCTCCCTTAGGTGTCACAGGCTTCCCTGCGGCTGCATAACGGGCCGCTCCTTCCGTCTTCCTATTCGTTTGTCACACTATAGTAATAGTAAAAACTACCTAGCCTAAGAAGACCCTACTAAAGAAAGATACTTAAACTATAATAGAGGTCACCTAGTATAGACTTAGGCCTGCCCTATTATAGAGTAGAACTAAGTTAGAGTTAATAAAGTATACTAGTACTAGTACTACCCCACCCACTTTAAAATATATAACACTCCTAATAATAGAGCTCTATAGTCACCTAGAGCCTCTTCCCTAAGGAAGAGGACTATAATATAATAGTAGCTCTTCTCTAATCTATAATAAATCTATTTCTTAGGAAGTAAGTTAGTTAAATATATAATAAAGTATAAATAAGTAGTATTATAGTTTAAGTTATATTAGGAGGTTACTCCTAATAGTAGAACTATTACTTAGATTAATTAGTAGAGATCTAGTCTAACTATCTACTAGAAATCCCCTATATCTATTTTATCCTCTACTATATTACTTAGATTACTTAGCTCACTTTATAATCTTAATAATATTAGATTAATACTAAATTACTATAATCCCTAGTAATCTAATTATATAACTAGTCCTTTATTCTTATACTCTTATAAACGCTTTATAGTTACTTCTTTAGACTACCCTACCCTTTCTTTATAGTACTTTAGTGTATTTATAATATTATTCTCCCTCTCTATTAGTTTTATCTTTAAGACTTATAGTTTTTATCTTATAAGTTCTTCTTCTTTTTATATTCTCTTTTATTATAATACTTAACTAAGTATTTAAGTCTTATTCTAATAAAGCTAAATAGTATTCTAAACTTACTACTACTATTAAAGAATTTAGTATTATTATTATACTTTTTTCTTTTTATTACTTAAAGAAGCTTTCTTATAAAATAATAAAGGGTGTTTCTTACTATAAAGAGTATATTTACTAAGGCTATTTATATAATAGTTTAAGTATATATTTATATTATTTTTTAATTAAATAATTTCTAAATCTTAATATTTATATTAAGAGGAAGAAGAGGCTACTACTCTATTATAATATCTTTAGTAGAAGTCCTCTAAGGCTCTTACTAAACTAGACTACCTATATAAATAATATAAGTCTCTTATAACTTATAGTTCTACTATAGTTAATTATAGTCTTTAGTTATTTAATAAGCTAAATAAGTTAGAATAGACTTTATTAGAAACTACTATTTAAATATAGTCCTTAGGTTATATTAATATAATTAATTAGAATATTATATTATTAAATTCCTTTTTATTACTAGAGGTAGATTTATTTATATAGAGTACTACTAGTTAAACTATTTAAATAGACTTAAATAATTTATAAGGTTCTTATAGGGTTCTTATATGTTTTTTAAATTTAAGTATCTTTTCTATTTAATAAAATAATAATAATTCTTTTTTATACTTTATATTTTAAGTATCTTTTTAACTTTATACTTATTTATATTTTTAATAATAATATCTATAGTAAGTATAGTACTATTTAGTACTTTCTCTAATAATAAAATATAAAATATAGAATATATTTTTATTCCTTTAAATAATAATAGTTTATAATTAGTATTTAATAGTTTTTATTTAATAAAGAATAGTCTAATCTTTTTCTAATTAAGTTTAT